AAAAAAAAAAAAAGAAGAAGAATGGTGTCTTCCAGATTCAAGATTCTGATAATATTTTTTCATTGGTGTGTTTTTGGACAATCTAAAATATATTCCTAGACTAAGGAATGCATTTTGCATTTACTAATCTTAGAATGACATTTGAGTTTTAGATTAAGTAATTTGGAATGCATTCTCAAATCTAGGAGTACAGTTCAGATTGATCAATTTGGACCTCAAGTGTAATTCCTGGATTGGGCAATCCAAAATACATTCTTAAATAATGCGTTTTGGATTGTCATCTGAAAATGTATTTTGGATTGGCCAAGTGAACTTTTCTTATTTTCTTATTTATTTTGTTATATAGTTAGGAGGTGTAAATGGTAATAATATATTTTATATGGGTGCAAGAAGAAAAAAATGGAGGTGCATAAAGAAATGGCCTTTAAGTTTTGCATTTACCTAGCAACCTTATTGAGTAGCTTTTTGTAAGCCTTAGCCCATCTTATCTTTGTTGTTTCCTTTTATGTATTTAAAAAATACGTGGTTGCACGTTTTAGTACATGAAAGAAGGAAAATAATAAACGGGTGATAGACAAACACCCCACATTCTAATAAACAGCTATCCAACACTAATCATATTACATTTTTATTTTAAAATATAAAATAATATAAAAAGAATCTACTACAAAATTAAAAATATTATTTTTCAATTATTTGGTGTGTCGTAGGTGAAGGAAAACTATAAGATGTTCATGTAAATTTTTTCAATAATAAAATACACTGTTTCCTATTCATCCTCATCTTCTCTCTTGGTTTCATATTGAGTTTTTCTTCCTTTCCTCTGTACCATGTTTAGCAAGGATAGTAAACAATCCCATGAGTTCAATTACAATCACGTAGATTTAAATCTATGTAAAGTCAGCAAGACGAAGGTTATCTCCTACTTCAATACAACACTTTAATCATATTACTGGTAGATGTAAAATAAAAGGACAAGAAACAGTTGTACACACCAGAAATTTCATTCCTTAATAAAGAGCAACAGATTCTTGACAACCACGCACCACTCGCTTCAAGGAACATATACATATAACCCATATGAACCCTGCATTACTTTCGTGGTGGCGTTTTATAGTTTTTATTTAGTAGACAATAGAGAAAGCCACATGATATAACACGAAGATCATAAAGCTGTTGATGACAGCAACAACAATAACACGAGACATACGAAGATGTAGCTTCTTCAGATTGGATACGCCTCGATGATAGATGGGAGAGCATTGATCTTGATGATGTTGTAACGAGTGAATCCTGTTTCTTTGAATAGCCACTTCCAATTCTCTTCGGTCCTCTCTTTGCCACCAGCGTTGTGAGCGAGAAGCATCATGTCAAATGCAATGCCAACATCAGTGAAGGGTTCGTTCCCTTCGGGTCGAAGCACATGATCCACAATTATCACCTTTCCTGTCTTCTCTGGTATTGCTTTCCTGCAGTTCTTCAGGATCTTCACGCAGTGCTCGTCGCTCCAGTCATGCAAAATCCACTGCATTCATCAAAAACAAATATTTCTAGGTAAAAGTTTCAAATTGTATGTGTTTAAATTACGTATGCATTATGGAGATATATAAATACCTTCATGTAAATGGCATCAGCAGAGGGAATGGAGACGAACATGTCACCTCCAACATGAGTGATTCCATCAAAGTTAGGTGCAGTGGAAACGACATGAGGCAAGTCAAAGTTGATGCCTTTGATGTGAGGGTAAGCCCTGACAATCTCAGAAAGAGAGCCTCCAATGCCACCTCCCACATCAACCAAAGACTCAATCTTGTTAAACCCATCTCTGTAGCCATTGATGACAGCCTTGGTGATGAACTTAGTGGTGCACACCATCCCCTCATTGAACAACCTGTTGTACTCGGAGTCCAACCCCGTCATCTCAAATTGTTCATGCCCATGGCACCTGAAGAAAGCAGTGCCGTTTTTGGTGCCTTCTCTCACAATCTCACTGATGTAGTGAGCAGGGTTGAGGTGAATTGGGTGGTTCTCCAACAGCAAGAATGGTGCTAAGGTGATTTTTGTGTCTCATAGGATCCATTTGGAAGCACGCGTCAAGCCGTAAAGGGTCTCTCCAGTCTCTGATTTCTCTGCACTGAAGATCTTTCTGCGCACCATCACTCTCATCACTCTCTCCAGAAGACTCACATCTGGGGAAGGTGCATTCTCAATGTTCTCCACAATTTGAGACAAGGATAGTGGTTTGCCATAGCTGTCTATTATATCTGCTATGCGAAGCTCTACCACAGATTTTAGGGCCATGGAATCAGTGAAGCTTGTCATGTACCTCCATATTTCAACTTGCCCTAGAAGTGACTCTTCCTCCTCATTGCTCAAACCCTGATTACAAATATACCAAGCAGATGTTATAATGTAAAAATGTAATACTAGCTCATGCACAATCCTTTCACATTTACGTCCTTTTCTTCTATAGATTAGTAAAGTTACGTGCATGTAATAAGAGTCACAATGAATGAGATTTACGTCTTCAGTCTTTCAAAATAAGGACATACCACATATTACCATATTTCTTCTGTCTGCATATTCACGTAATAGAGTTGAAATTATTAAAAGTTGGATGAATTGTTTTTTTTTTCCTCTTTATCTGATGTGTTCATGTTATCTTGATAGGGTACACCAAGAAAAAGTGTATCAATATAATATATTCAGAGAGAAAATAAAAATAATAGGTTAATAAATTATGAAATATGATAAAGAAGAAAAAATAGAAAAAAAAATATATCTAATTGGTGTAGACGAAATCAAAGTGTCGATAAATATTTTTTATATTAATATAATTTGTGACTTTAACTTCTCCACTAATAAATAAACAAAGTTTATATAATTTGGGTTAAGTCTTATTGTTTATTTTCAAAAATAAAACTCTTTTAACAACTATATATTTTCTTTACTTGTGAAACTCATATGAGAAATCTTATTATGTAAAAAATCTATTTCTTACTTCTCATATTTGAAATCTTAGGCAAAATATGCATAAAAAATACAAATACTGATGAAAGAAGTACTAACAGTTATCAAGGATCTTCTTTTCATTATCAAAATGACATTTATCAAGGATCTTCTTTTCATTATTTTACTTTAGTCTATTCTTTTTATTCCATTATTATTATTTTTTCCCTAACTATACGCTCCCAGAAGTAACCTTTGTGAATTGTATACATCTTACAATTACAGACTGAGAAGGTAAAAAATATATATTTATTATATAAATAACTGAATTTAGATTTTTTATTATGCATATTTTCTTAACATCTTTTTAACAGTATTGTAATTGGGACAACATATTTATCAAGTTCATATATTTTTCTTTCAACAATATTTAAATCCAAAATTTCATTTAAACCATTTGAGTTTAGTTTTATCTGGATGATTGATATGTTGATTATTTTTTAATAGCTTAATAATATTACTATCTAAGTTGCCAATTTTTTTATAAAGAAAAACTATAAAAAACACTGCTATTAAATTATATAATAGAAAAATAATGACAACATTCTTAGTTAAAATTTATAGAAAACAAATTCAAAAACTCCATGATTGTTGTATAAATGCATCCATCGATGAGTTTGTATCTATATTAATAGTCATTAAGATGGTAAATTAAAACAAGAGAGATTCATCATCTTATTAATTTTAGAACATAAATTTATTATATATTTTTTTATATTTTTTATATAAATATATATTTCTTATATTTTTTTATATAAATATATATTTCTTATATTTTTTTATATAAATATATATTTCTTATATTTTTAATAAAATAATATTCATGTCTTTTATTTTATTTAAAATTATCATATCAATTAAACTTAAAAATTATGAAAAGTAGAAGTTAAATTCTAAAATATAAAAATAGAGTTTTGTCACGTATTTGGGTTTTCAACGAGTTTTTGAATCCACAAGCCCATTTTAATTGGGATATTGTTAATGACCAATGAATTGTCAGACATTTGTAGGCCAATTGCTTCCTCACCCTATCATTTTCTTTCTACAATCTATNATTGGGATATTGTTAATGACCAATGAATTGTCAGACATTTGTAGGCCAATTGCTTCCTCACCCTATCATTTTCTTTCTACAATCTATCATTTTCGGAATTTATTTTCCAGAACACGATAAATACTTTTGAATTTTCTTTTTCTGAAAATCTGGAAGAAGCAACTGCTCACATATTCTGCTGCTCACATATTCTGGATTCAACAGTTCACTATAAATATCATTTTTATAACTATTGTGTTTATTTTTTTTTCATATTAATATTATAATTTTATTATAGATAGATCTATTATTTTTATAAATAATTTTTTAAAATTTTTAAATTTTAAAAATGGTTAAATTAAAAAATATTACTTAAAAATAAAAAATGATAAAATTGATTTAAAAAACATTATTTAAAAAGTACAAGAGAAAAAAAAATATATGACAAGAAAAAGGAGATCTCTCTTTATATAATATAATAGTATAGAAGTCTAAACTATATCTAAAAATATCTTAATAATGTCTACTATTGAATTATTCGATTTTTATATAAAAAATAATTTTTTTTAAGGTAATATAACTTTAGAAAATATGATTTCAAAAAGAGGTACGTGCAATATTTTCTTAATATGATATACCTTATTTTTTAAAAAAAAAATAAGTATTTTGCTAATGTTGAATTTGTTGAATACATTAAGTTCGTAAAATTAAACCAACCTATTCTACCAATTGAGCGAAGAATGAACCAAGAAACTAATTTGAAAAACCCAAAAAAAAATAATATCAGTAAATTCAATAAAAATGATCAACTTAAATTAATGTAAAAAAGTCTATTAGAATTGCATGTTGTTTTTTCATAAAAAAAAATACAAATTCTTATGTAAAATTATGTAAAAAACACAAAAAAGAACTATGTCCAAATTTTGAAATACTATAAATTATCTTATAAGACATGTCCTGTAATCTTTTAGCTCGGTAAAACTGTAGTTTCCAACTAAATAAACAAATAAAATAGTCAAAGTCAATAAAAAAATAAAACTAACTGTCATTTATGCAAAGAAAAATAAATAACATTTTAATATTAAAAAAATGAAAAACTCTCAATTAAAAAAAGTTCTCTTTCATAGAAAAACCACTTTCTTAAAAAAAGTTCTTTTCAAAGAAAACCCACTTTTATATTTTAAAACCTATTATCCCAACAAAATTTTCATTAAAATAATTTTAACAGTAAAGTAATTTGTATTCACATCAGATTTGATTAGCATTTGGCAATCCTTACACAGTTCTCAACAGTGCTACTTTAAATACACATAAACATTAAAAATAAATGCTTAATTGACACAAAAAATCCCCTGCATTAAATAATAATATGGCAATCAGCACCAACATAATCAGCAATGTAAGCTCAATGGTGCCCTCAAAGTCCTTATTCTCTCAAACTGGGAAAGGCCACAAAGCCAAACTGGAATCAAAGTGACAAATTTAACCAAACTTTATAGCATTAACTAACAAAGTTAATCAGTTTAAAACTGACTAAAATGTAAAGAACCTACAACCACTTTTTAATGTAACATCCCATGCATATTGTTCATGACCAACTACATTAATTCCATCAAAAATCAAGAAAATATATGGTTCCTTCAACCAGAAATATCAAAATGAAAAATCACCCATGAAACTGATGCATAGATCAATGGTTTTGGCTATCATCATCACCATAAAGACATAAAACTCGTAACTTAACCTATAAACTGTTAGATTCATGTGTTAGCACCATAATTAGCCCAACATACTAATAAAAGCTGATCGAAAGTAAGACAGTTTACTAAGTTTGTTAAACAAAACAGTGAGTCCATGTGCAATATGTCTATATTTAGTTGGAATATACAATATTGAAAGTTACTTAAGATCACATAGAGGGATACAGTAGTGAAAGTTGAAGTCCCAATATTAGTATATTTTAGTGAGAAATAACCACATAACCATTTGATCTATTCTACGCACCTTGAATTCCAAAGGTGGGGAGTGGTTGGAAAGAACAGTCTCCATATTCTGTGGAGTTCTATACAAAGAATCAGAGGTATGAAGTCCGTGCTGAGTGCAAGAAGCCTTTCTCTTACTTACAACTAGGGTTCCAGTGAGTGAGTTCAGTGGGTGTGGAAATGGTGGTTAATAAAGATGATAAGGTAGCATGACGTGTGTGGTTGATTGCTTCAGTTCAATGTAAGAACTGATAGGGTAGATGCTGTGTGTGGTTGAGATTCATATCACAGATTTCCAGGAACGTGCTGTTAAATTATTGAAAAGCTATGATGCTATGTGATGGATGAGTGTGTGGTGCAGATCACACCCAATAAAGTCTGTTCTCTGCTTTAGAGCAACTTCATTGGTACTGTAAGGACACATGTATTGCAATTTTCATGCATTTCAGCCAGATTTATACTATCTCACCCCTGATTTTGGATAGTGACTCACCCCAATGACACAGTTTTCCAATAAACATCATTACTCCTACATTATTGCCATTCTTATATCATACATTTTTCTAATAAACATTATTGCTGATACATTATTATCATGCAGTAACCATCACTGTTCATAGATAATGCTATAGTCTACTATTTCATGCAGTTTTAAAATAATCATCAGATTATGCCATTTTAAAACAGACATCATCTATCAATAAACATTATTATTGATGCATTACTTTTGTAATGAAGTAGAAGAAGCTTTCAAGGCATGTATTAAAAAGAGAAGAACCTAACCAAGATATATGATAAACGACAAACCTGGTAGTCACATCTGTTATTTTGCTCCATTTGAAAGATAACACGTTATAGCGAGAGATCAAACGTATAAACGTAAGCCTTCAATAATTCTGATAGAAATTGGTACCGAAGGCCAATGAAATCAAGACAGGTGGTGCAATGCAATGATGAATATGACTTATCATGTCAGTTAGTGTTTTTGTTTTTTTATTATCAAAGTGAAACAACAGTTCAAGGGATGCAATCGGTACAATAAAAATAGACTCTCACGCACATGGTGACCACAGTTGCACTTAGCACAGTATCTTTCAGCAATTTTTCTTACCATAAGACCAATGCCACTGCAATTTAAGACCTTGTCGTTAACAACAGAGACAAATTTTGTTAGGTAAACAAATACAACTACCCTGGTTAACTATGTAGTGTGGGTCAAATTTTGTACGACTATGAAGTCTACAAGCTATATCAAAATAAGATATACAAAATTCTCCATCCTATAAAGTTTTTGGTTCATTGTGTTTCATTCTTAAATGAATATTCCTAATTGTAAAACTTACGTTCCCAAATACTCATTCCAATATGAAAAGAGAATGAAAGATTCATTAAAGTGAGAGTGAAATCAAGAGTCTAACTTCCTATATCCTATTACAATACTCATACCAAAATGAAAGAAGTTGGATGAAGATATTTAAAAGGATGAGTAAGAAATAAACTAAAGAGTGCAAATTATAAAATTCTTGGACCACACCTTCAATCTTTTTCTCGTAATGGACTTTCTGGAAAGCTCAATAATGACAGGTGTTTACCGGGCAAGGAGTCCTGGAAGTTGAGGCCTAACCTAAACTCAGTTGATAGATTGGATCCTCCATGGCCTAGTCCAATCCAGCTTGTCCCAGCCCATTTTGGAGGGCATACAAACGGCCCATTTCTAACTGGGCCTTAAGATCATAGTACATATCAAAACCAGTAAGAGCTAACCCTATGTGTATCAATATGTGAAGTGGGTGATACTTACCACTGCAGTTCAATCTGTAATTTTCATCATTTTTCTTAGCAAAAGAACAATGCAACTCCAATTTAAGATCTTCTGTCCTAAACATTAAAAGACAACATTTGTTTGGAACATACATATGGGCCTGTTTGAGTAGTTAGCAGTTTGTAGATTGATCAGAACCGTAGAGCACATGTTTCTTGCAAGTTGTATCAAAGGAAAATGAAATCTGGACTGGACCAGCCAAAGCCCAGTGAATACCGTGAAGGCCCAGCCCATTCCTCCTCTGAAACAAAATCCACTAAGATCTTGGAAGGCCATAGAAACAGCCTGCTACTAAGAGGGCCTCAGTAACGTGTAGCCTTATGTGAAGTAAGAGAGAAAATTGAAAAGAAAAATAAGGATGATTGATTGTACAGCAAGTATCTTAGAGACATATACTACCATGGTTTAAATGAAAGCAAGAAGAAAGTGGCCAAGATAAAATAAAATTTGTGCAAGAGCTACCACCAGTGAGTAAGTAGACTCCATGACCAATTAATCTATGAGAATTCACTTAAGTTTAGTAAATCTTAACCATGACATAAAACTGTTAAATAACCTTAACAATTCATGTGTAAGTGTATCACCAATATCAACTCTTCTCAAATCTGAAACTCTCTGTAGATATGTCTCACTGTCTATGTAGAGAAAGATAGATGAGTTCTGAATAGAAGCACAACAAAAATATATGTAGGAGTGTTTCAGCTACAGACTGCAGTTTTCATCATCATATAAAAGAAGCATTACAGGAGAGGAAAACAAGGTATCCGAAGAGAAAGGAAGTATAAGAAGAATCAGAGTCAGATTGGTGGTGAAGGAAGTTGATTTGTTTCCTGCTAATTCACCCAAAAAACAAGTATGAACAAGAGAGATAAAAAACCTGGACTAGAAAGGTTTCATTCGAGATAAGTGGCCTGCATTCCACACCTCAGTACCATGCTGAGCAGCTGAAACCAATTTACAAGATCATAAAATATCCATCCAATGATCCAGTAGAAGTGCAACAGAATAACAAACAGAGAATAAAGAAGAAGAAAGAAAAACAAGGTCTGCATAGACAGCAGATCCACACACGTAAATAAGGAGTAAAAACCAGCATTCCTCTTCCGTCCTTCCAAAGTACTATCATTAAATGTACACTCTTATTACCATAAGAGCCAAAAANATCTGTAATTTTCATCATTTTTCTTAGCAAAAGAACAATGCAACTCCAATTTAAGATCTTCTGTCCTAAACATTAAAAGACAACATTTGTTTGGAACATACATATGGGCCTGTTTGAGTAGTTAGCAGTTTGTAGATTGATCAGAACCGTAGAGCACATGTTTCTTGCAAGTTGTATCAAAGGAAAATGAAATCTGGACTGGACCAGCCAAAGCCCAGTGAATACCGTGAAGGCCCAGCCCATTCCTCCTCTGAAACAAAATCCACTAAGATCTTGGAAGGCCATAGAAACAGCCTGCTACTAAGAGGGCCTCAGTAACGTGTAGCCTTATGTGAAGTAAGAGAGAAAATTGAAAAGAAAAATAAGGATGATTGATTGTACAGCAAGTATCTTAGAGACATATACTACCATGGTTTAAATGAAAGCAAGAAGAAAGTGGCCAAGATAAAATAAAATTTGTGCAAGAGCTACCACCAGTGAGTAAGTAGACTCCATGACCAATTAATCTATGAGAATTCACTTAAGTTTAGTAAATCTTAACCATGACATAAAACTGTTAAATAACCTTAACAATTCATGTGTAAGTGTATCACCAATATCAACTCTTCTCAAATCTGAAACTCTCTGTAGATATGTCTCACTGTCTATGTAGAGAAAGATAGATGAGTTCTGAATAGAAGCACAACAAAAATATATGTAGGAGTGTTTCAGCTACAGACTGCAGTTTTCATCATCATATAAAAGAAGCATTACAGGAGAGGAAAACAAGGTATCCGAAGAGAAAGGAAGTATAAGAAGAATCAGAGTCAGATTGGTGGTGAAGGAAGTTGATTTGTTTCCTGCTAATTCACCCAAAAAACAAGTATGAACAAGAGAGATAAAAAACCTGGACTAGAAAGGTTTCATTCGAGATAAGTGGCCTGCATTCCACACCTCAGTACCATGCTGAGCAGCTGAAACCAATTTAAAAGATCATAAAATATCCATCCAATGATCCAGTAGAAGTGCAACAGAATAACAAACAGAGAATAAAGAAGAAGAAAGAAAAACAAGGTCTGCATAGACAGCAGATCCACACACGTAAATAAGGAGTAAAAACCAGCATTCCTCTTCCGTCCTTCCAAAGTACTATCATTAAATGTACACTCTTATTACCATAAGAGCCAAAAAAAAGGAGGCAAGATTAAAGATTAATTTTTGAGAGGCAGCAAGGAAGCCTGAAGGTGTAGTGAAAAGTGTGCGAATAAGAGATCAAAAGGGTGTGTGAGAAGAGGTTAAAATATTGCATTGAGAGTGAAGACAGCAAAATCATCGAATGAGATTAATTTATTATTATAAAAGCTTGAAGTAGTTCCCTACAGCTGTAACGTGTGTACAGCATGCATAAGATTTGAAGCTTTCGTTTTAGGATCCACGGCAGCATGCGTTGTCAAGCAAGTTGCGTTGAAATTGGAGTTGTCGAGAGCGTACGAAAGGATAAGATATCTTTGAAAAAAAACAACCAAAACAAAAAAAAAGCGTCATCAATCATCAACTTCCAGAGCCACAACTTCTTTTCTTTTTCTTTCACTTCAAATAAATACAACATCTCAATCATTACAACACCTGCAACAAAATACCATTCCTACACCTTTCATCACAAAAATTATACATATTTTACTCTCTTCATTCAATTTTAACTCTTTTTTAATTATTTATCATAATTAAGACAATTACTATTCGTTATTTTACATTCATCTTATATTAGTTACAAAATTATTATATATTTTCTGTATAAGAGGACTAGTAAATATTAGATGGGATTATTGGATTCTTTAAAATATTTTTTGGTGTGTTTATATCCCTTTCCACATATTATGATCGAATCCTTGTGATTGTTGTTAATAAGACAGTTTTATATTCCATTTTCATTTATTTATGGTACAATACATATCTTTTTGTTCATAAGGTTTAAAGTAAATCAACTTACAGCTTTAAAGTGAATTACATTGATATTTCTTAAGATTTTGTGAATATTACTTGTGATATTTCTCATTTTTCTATTCCATGTAAGCTATCTTTAATTGTTTCTAAATATATACTAATGTTTTTGTACTCTATATCAGATTTCTTTGATTGTTTTAAAATATATATACGCATATTTTTATTTGTTTGGAAAAATAACTCTTTCCATCTTCATACGAGATATTGCTTTTGTGTTTTTACAAAACAAGAATACTAAATTTACACTCTCCTACCAACAAAAGCAATTGATTTATATATCAGTAACTAAAACAAAATTAAATGGAAATCTTTACATTTTTGTAAATGGGTTTAAGAAATAAAATTGAATAAATTACTATGTATCAAGTAATTTCAAGTAACCATAACTTAATTATAGGAATTCAATCGGAAAAAGTGTAAATATTTATTAAGTGTATTACATTTTTATTTTTGTTTTAGATTTGATTATAAATATTTTAAATTTAAAACCAACAATAGTTGTCTAGTTAACAAAAGGGAAGAGAATACTTCATAAAAATATTGATAGAAAACTGATTCCAGAAAATTATAAGCGATAACAACTAAAACTTTAATTGATTTGCATTTTTTTTAAATAGTTTTACATCTAGACTAAATTGA